CTTACATTGTAGCAAACTCAAGACACTGGGACTAAATGCTATCATAGCCCTAAGAAAACCACTTCTCAATGAGGCTGTAAGGGTGGAAAGAAGACTTCAGATTGCTTAGGTGCTTAAAGATGGTCTGAGCCCAGATTTATCCTGCTTAAGAATGATTAGCACGTCATACTGAGGGATACAGATAAATTGATGCACCAACACGAGCCCATGGGGGCAGTCCTGTGGTTGGTTTAGTTGCTCATATCTAGGTTCAGCATTGTTGAATGAGGTCAGCTACCTGAATTTACTGAATGAGCAGCTTTTTTTCCCCCCATGATTTTTTTCTTCCCTGATGGCATGGACATATTCCAAGATGGCCGCATTCATTCGGATCAAATTGTGGCAAAGTGGTTTGGGTCTCACTGAGAATCTTTGGAATGTGCGTGTCTGCATATAAATAAATGTTGTGACATTTCGTAAGCTTAATGAAATGACTCATAAAGGTCTGAGACAAATTCCAAATGGCAGCTGGTTTATGAGCTTCCAGATGAGAAGATGAAGACAAGCACACACACAGTCAGATAAGTCAGGAAGTCATGCAGGCACATGTTCATTTGACAGAGATAAAAAACCTTGTAGTCCCTTATTTGGGCAGTTACTTTGAAGGACTATCTAATCGTTATCATTATCTGAGTGTAACCAAAGAATAAAAGCTGCACATTTACAATCACCTGTTAAATCTGATTTAAAACGCTTAAAAAAATAAGACTTTGAAATGCTTTTTTCCATCTGAAGGTTGGGCTTCAGCCACCGTGTTTGCTGTTACAGAATTCTCACTTAAGGATTCTTCTCCATGTCTTTCTTCTGCCTCTGATGTTGTGCAGGGAAACATAAATTTTGCACACACATGCCCTGGAAAGTTAACCATATTCCTTTTTTAAAATTAAAAACGTATCTTTGGATGTGAATTGCAAACTCCCTCTGCCTGCGAATGCTCTTGCGCCTGTTTGATTTTGCTTCAAGACGGCTTCTGTTTGTACTTCAAACAGAAGTGCTCATGTGGACATGCAGAGGTACCTGTGGCCTGGTTATGAGGTGCAGCTTCTCGGGGGGCTGCAGAGACAACAGAACAGTGCCCAGTTCTGTGACACCCTGCTCCAAACTGAGGGTGAGAAAGAAGGAAAATTACAAAGTTCTTTGTGATGTAAGACAATGTACAAAATGCACAACTGAGTCATTCTCTCCTGACTTATTCTTTATGTAAAGGTATCTCAATCCCAACCCACAGCTGCGTCCTTGCAGCTCTCAGCCCGTACTTGTCTCAGAAGCTTTCAGCCTCCCCCTCACCTCCATCTGGACAGAAGCGTCAGCTCCAGCTCCAGACCGTGAAGGCCCAGACTCTGCTCAAGCTGGTTGGTCTGCTTTACTCTGGTGTGCTGGAGGTAAAAGGAAACAATGAGAAGAGTGATGTGCTGGCTGCAGCCCACCAGTTTGGAATCACAGACCTTGTACGAGGACAGAAGGGTGGAGGGCCGAAAGAAGTCCAGGAAAGGAGGCAGAGTCTTGGGAATTGCAGAGAGAGACGGGGAAGCCTAAAAATACAGGAGACACATGTTGAGGCTGAGGTGACGGGCACGGGAGAGGAAAATTCACCAGTCAGAAAGAAAATCAGTGTGTCTGTTGGCACACAGACAGCAACCATTGCTGAAAATTCAGTGGATTTTGGAAATCCGGAGCCTGCCTCCTCTGTAGCTCAAAGCCCGGATGTTTGTATCACTGTTCCACATCTCACCCCTCGCCCCGCCGTTGCCAGTGATGCAGAGTCTACATTTGGCCAAA